AAGCAGACAAGGTAATTAATATTGCTATTTAAATATGACAGGCTCATAACTTGTCAGATATGGGAAATACAGTTGCAAATGGACTTTTCTTTTTAATTTCAAATTTGGCAGCCACTGCGTTCGCGAAAGCGAAAATGCAAACGGTAATGCAAGATGCGTCCAGATAAGGAAAACGCAATTAAAAATACAATTTGCAATTCCTTTTGAAAATTGTCCAGAATATCCTTCCATACTGAATAGTGTTAAAAAGTGAAATGTAGCTGTTGGTTTGCATATATTTAAACAGGATCCTGGGTAACCGGGTTGCAGAACTTGAAAGAAAGTTGAAAACATTAGAGGTGTCTGGGTTGTGGAGTCTGCCAGGTAAACATCATATTCTATGCAGTTGCTTTTTTTTTTTCTTAATTTTGATTATTTGATTGTAGTTTGGTGTTTTAATGTTTGCTCTAATACACTTTACATTTGTGTAATTAGTGTTTCTTTGTAACATAATATAGTTTGTCTTGCTTATTTCAATTTTTAAATGACTTTCAATTGCTCTCCCATTTCTGCTTTTCACTCTTTCTTCTCACCCTCTCTGGAGGCATCACCTACAATGTGTCTCTCGGACTAGGGAGTATGTATTTTTTTATTCAATATAGTTTTTTGCCTTTTATACCTTTCTGCACTTTTTTCAAACCAATTCTACCTCTGTTACCCTTGTTGTTAACTTGACAAGATAACTTCCATTTGTTGTTACAGTTGTGTATATATTGACTTGAACTTTTTTACAGGAAGGAAAGCCGTTATTGTCCTGAGTGACTCTCAGCATGTCCAGTTCACCACAGAACAGCCAGTCCATCTGACACCAGAGTCAATGGGTGAGTTACTACCTAGTGAACACTAATTGACACTTTACATCTATACAGTACACTTTTGAGTCTCATGACCTCTTTAAACATTACAGGCACAAATCCAAATGTTTTTTTTAAATTATTAGTTATTATTAATTTTGTAATAATCATAGACCCTAACCCTAAGTTTGCATATGGAAAATACTTTGATGTGTAAGCTCAAAACATTTAATTCAAAGACAAGAGAAGCTTACACACATAATCATAAAAATGTCCTTACAAAATTCTTACATTCAGAGGCCAAAAAGTGAAAGAAAAGTGCCACATTGTTAAAAGTTTTTAAATGTCACCACATAAATTTGTTTATTTTTTCTCCGAATTAGTAGAATCAGTATTATGAAAATGTGATTTGCATACAGCTACACACAACTTTGCCTGTTGAATATTAAAAATCAAATGAACAGGCATGTCCATGTCCTTCATGCGAGTCAACGGTTCCTGTTAATCTCCACACAGGATCTCATCCTGGCACTTCCCCTAATTGCAGATTCAATTATTAGATCTAATATTAACGTTCTTCTACATTTTTTTTACATTTGCCATGTTTTTGCTGTCAGACTAACACCTTCTACCTCAAAAGTTCACATTTAATTCATTGCTACTTTCTTTCTTTTCATTGTAATTCTTTGTAGCCGTTTGTGATATTTACTAGCAATTTCTGATGGAAAATTGTTTCTACACCAATGTTTTTTTTAGTGAATATACCTGAAAACATTCATCTGTGTGCTGCTAACATTCATAGACATCCAAAGCTACTACTGCATAGTGCATGCATACCAATAACTTTCGGAGGAATATCAAATACATAACTCAAAATTGTTGTCGTTACATATCTACATTTCAGAAAATTGCAGAATCACAAAAAAAAAAAAAAAAAAAAACAAACATTTTCAACCCTTTCATTCCGCTGACTGTTTACTGTTTTTATTTTATAGCTATATAACATAGATTATGTTATAGAATTAGTAACATTAGAGTCATATAGTGGAAAAATAAATTAACCTTCCAGCTTTTAAAATGGCTAATATTCATGAGAAGGGTCTAAGTAAGGGTCTGATCAACATTTTCGAATGCATACTTTGGGAACATGATCTAAAAATGGAAAACCTCATAGGAGTAAAACCGCTCATATTATATTTTGATTCACTTCTGGAAACATTTTCTGAAGGCAAATCACCTCCTTTCACTGAAAACAATGGGGGGGGGGACTTATTATTTTTTTTACAAGTTTGTATACTTTTTAAATAAAAAAATAGTAACAAAAGTGTCAACGCTTTCCAGCAGGAGATGAGGAGATTGTTACTGGTGAAGAGGTGACAGAGGACACTGGACTCAGCACGGATTTCAGCCCAGATGAATGTCAAGCCGTGGCAGTCGAGCTGAACCACGAGAGTGATTATTTCAACTGCACATATTCAGTCTCACAAACTCCACAATTCAGTAATCCAGCAGAAAGTATCCAGCCTGTGGAGAGCACACAGAGTAAAACCCTTGCTTGTTGTGACTCTGAGACGCCTGTGTGTCCTCCTGAGAGGGGATCAGAACAGCATAATGAAGATCTCTCAAGCTGTGGATGTCAGTCTTTGAACACAGAAGCATCTTTGAAAGGTTTGGAGGAAGAGGCTGATGTGGAGAATGAAGTTCCTGTTGTTCATTCTGAGGAGGACTTTGATAGTCAAGGTGCATTAGAGGACAGTCGGCCTGTGGCATCAGAGACCTTTAGCGGATCTGAGTCAAATACACCGGAACAGCAAACAGAGCGATCGGTCGAAGAAGAAACAGAGAATGCTTCCCTAAACACAAGTTCTCCTGCTCAAACCTCATCACACCAGGAATGAACCTTCATGATGTTAAAAACTGAGAGAAATTCATAAAAACAACCTCCATTCATTTAAAGCCCCATCAGTTCAAATAAGTGTTCAGATTCAGAACTGTATGAAAAAGACTTGGGCAAAAGAATAAAAACAAGAACATTTGAATGTCCAAATGAAACCTGTTCATTATTCCAATTAAAGGCACAATATGTAATTTTCGCCGCTAGAGGATGCGTATTCAAAATAGACAAAGGCGTAGTTTGATGAGTGTGGAATCATGGGAGTTGTCGTCTTCATCCCCACAGCCGATGCAATCCTAAGTACAAAAGTCAGCAAAATATATAACACTGTTCTAGTGGTTTTTGGATATTTTAATAAAAAAAATAATATCTTACATATTGTGCCTTTTAAGCTAAAAGCAAACGAAAAGGTTCACCATAAGGCAAGCTGAATATTAAAATCAACAATGCTATAGTTAAATTCCTGACGGCAGTCAATGTCTTTCTGGAGGTTGTTAATAATCTGAGATCAACAAGAATCTCAAATGAAACCGTAGATGTGACGTCACTATAATGACACTAAACCAGCTAAACCAGTTCATTTCACACTAAACCAGTTCATTTCACAATAAACCAGTTCATTTTTTTCTAACATTTTTATGAAATAATTTTAAAGACACATCTTTATGTATTTTGACTATTACATCTAGTGTATTTTGTGGACAAAACATGACAATTTTGACTTAATTTTCAGTTTAACCTTCTCGTGATATTTTTTCCCCCATTGAGTAAAGCACAACATGCAATTCCTGTTTCACATGCAAAAGCTAAAGGTTCTTTTCTTATAACACTGAATGTCACAATTTCAGCCATTATCATTTGTTCCTTACAGAGTCAGTGTATATTTATTTATAGTCATATGTCTTATTTATTATAATTAGTGATCTTGATGATTGTAAAAGTGCTTGATCTGTAAAGGTTGGTGTAAAATCATTCTCTGTCTGTAGATCACCTTATATTACACTGTAATATAGTGTAAAATTAAAATGGGAACAATCATCAGCTTGAAAGCTTAAATGAGATTTAATTAGGCACAAAAGCACTGCATCGCACTACACCAGCCATTTAGTTTGACCCTCTGCTGCTATATTATTGAATTATTACTGCATCAGTTTATTTGGTTTGCATTGACTTGACCTGTTGGGTGCACCAAAAAATATTTGTAATGATGGAAGGATTACCTTGTTATCTGTATATGTCCTCAAGTCATTGAAATAAAAAGTAACATTTGCCATTACAAACATCCAGTTCATCAGTCTTCCGAAGCCAAAAGACTAAGAAATCCATCAATCAATAAGAGGTTTTTAACTTCAAACCACTGCTTCCAGCTAAAATATGAGTCATCTACCCATAATATAGCTTTCTCCAGTAAAAACGTTGTCTCGACTGAATCAGGAGAGATACGCACACTTTAAGCACCATTTACAAGCAAAAACAGTTAAATAAGTTCTAAACAACGGAGGAAGCATTATTATAGATCATGGTATTTTGGCCAGAAGTGATAGCCTGAGGGTGAGTAAATGTTAAGCAAATTTTAATTTTTAAGTGAACTATTCCTTTAAAAGGTCAGGGAAGCAGTACTACTCTGAAAAAAACTTAAATGTCTCTAAGCAGTGATACAGTTCCTCAAAACATGCTGTATTTATCAATTCAATATTTCTATGCTATTTTATGAAGCAACATAAAATGTTGGAATAAAAGACTTCAAATATTTACGTCAGGTTTGATGCAAGGCTTGGGCTGCGGTTAACTATTATGTTCTTAATGTTTTTACTGCCCGCACAACAAATTGTGCCGATTCAGAGTGACTATTCCACAACGAAAATGAAATTGGTAAGCTAATAATAAATCCACTTTTTTTTTAAATGATATTGGACCAACTACTAGAGACAGCAGGAGCTTGATTTCCAACATTTAATGCAAACAAACCTTTTTGACTGGAGCTAAACAAATAACTGTGTGCCACTCACTATCCAATCAAAGCTGTCAGTGCAGAGTCCAATGACACAGTGATCAATAAGGGAAAGAGATTATGTACTGCGCTTATTGCTCCATTTAAAATGTAATGAACAATACCAAATTAAATTAGATCATTTAAAATGAATACAGCACAGAACATCGCTAGATTGAAATCTTTGGACAGAATTGTAAGGATTTTTTTTTGCTGTTATTCTGCATTTTCTATAAAAGCAGCGCAAATAAGACCAAGTCTAGAATTACAAACAAAACATTTTTATTATTATCATTTCAGACAACTTAAAAAACACACAGACAACACAAAAACAAGCTTGTCTTGCCTACGGTGTATTAACATCGTGCTCTTTTTTTTTTCTGCAAATATTTACATTCAGTATGCACATAAAGTGGAAATGGAACACTTACCACAATAAGATTTAATAGTAATAACAATACCACTGTTAACAGTAACGACAACATATATGTGTGTGTACATATATACATTGCAAAGTTTGAAAAAACAAAGGATAACAAAACAGCCAAGTAGATGGATATATAAAAAGTATAAACTGAGGTGTTACGTGTGGTTATCATGTGTTTCCAATACACAGTTTAAATTTCCATATGGATTTGATGGATGAATACAATGCAAACAAGTGAACTAAACTCATCTGCTCACTCATTCATGTCCACTTCTACAGCACAGGACAGATAGGTGCTTATTTTTCAATGCTGAACAAGCTACAGTACCAAACCGCTAACTTCAATGGATTGAAATTAATGAAAAGAACCCAAAAATAAATCCTCCCTCACATGTTCTTACAAACCTGTATGACTTTCTTCCATGGAACACAAATGTAGGAATTCTGAAGAAAGTTCTGGTCATTTTTGTTCATGTAATTACGATTAATAATGCACAAACATCAAAAATGCCATAAATGTCATTCATATGAATCTGCGCACTAGATTGATGCCATATTATATTTTTATTTGCATTTGGAATGGCAAAAGACAAGAGCATTCAAAAATCATTCAAATTTCTACTGAGTGTTCTACTGAACAAGGAAAGTCATACTGGTTTGACAACAAGAATACTGTAAATGAGGACAGAACCATGTAATTAAAATCACATAAGGCTTAAAATGGTAGGAACAAAAGTGGGTTTTATGGAACAAAGAAACTTTCAATTAAATGTTTCAATTCAGGTTGGTTTTCGAAGGGACTTTTTAAAACATTTTAATGAGCAAAGATGGTAGGACCAAAAATGGACCTTCTTTTGTTAAATCCCATTTCTTATGCATATTCCTTCATTTCATGAAAAATTATGAAATTAGTAAATAACAGTAAAATGTTCTCAAATGTGAATGAAACTGAGGTTTGACTCCCATCAAGGCACAAGTTGCTCAGTCTGCCTGTTTCTCTGTCATTGGAGAGATAGAGGCATGGCCAAAGGGAGAGAGCAAAGCCATTCAGACTTACAGCTGGTCAAAAATGGTCATCTACTTTTAAGCCAGCAACACAAACACTTACTGGTCATCTGCAGACAGAAAAATTGCAACAAGTGTGCATTTCCGTCTGCTTCCCAGACTGGTACCATTTTCCGTTTTACACACCGGACACAAATCACACACAACATCATATTAATTAAAGCATTTGTACTGTGTTTACTGTGACTGTACCATGTCAATATTTTCCCTCACATCCCCTCCCTTACACATCTGACCCTTCCGAGCAGCGCGCTGATTCACAGCCTCAGCAGATGGACAGGGCGGGTGGACCCTGTCTCTGCTGGGTTTTCTTGAGCAGCTGTATACGGTTGTGGCAGTAGAATTTCACAGCCCTCCAGTCCCGGTGGTTGGTGACCAGCAGGGGGCAGAGCTCCAGGCAGCGCTCACATTCCGCTTTAGCCGGCACTCGCAGCTCTATGATGTTTTGCACCAGGTGGGTCTCAACAGCTGCCCGCTCTGCCTCAGACCAAGGCCGCTTCAGCACACCACGTTTACCTGAGACAGAGAGGAGAACATATGTTAATCATTATTCCTGTGTAAACACTGCACTCAGGCTTTCCTGCTCCCCCAGGCGTCAATGAGTTAGCACTGTGCTGAATAGGGATGTAACGATTACCGGTTTGACGATAAATCATGATCAAATTCCCCACGGTTAGTATTACCATTTCATCTTTTAGTTATCATTAAAACTGTATTAGATTACTGCGATTTGTACAACTCGCGATAAATAAATACTGTCCAGCATAAAGCACAGTTTTAAGTAACAGTCTCAAGTGTGCACAGCACACAGAGTAGTTCCGTTTTGAGTGAAAACAGGGGAAAAGCTGGGAGGTTTTAAAAGAGTGAAGGAAATTATACAAATGAATATATGAATGAATTAATTATATGAATGTACCTCTGAAGGTTCTGACTGTCTACAGAAAAGAATCGATGGCATTTTGTTTTCATCTTCGCTCCATGTAATACCTGAAGGAAGTGTTCTTAATCGCAATACTGCTTTGTCCACGGAGGTTACGGGAAACAGCTCTAATTCAGCTTTTCCATAAACGCCACCTAGTGTCAGTGAGTGGATTTACAGAGACTTATATTTACATTCAGCTTGCGTGCAGTTTCTGTCTGGCCAAAAACGGACCGAATTTGCATGCCCTGCTGTAAATTTTGACCGGTTGATGAAAAACAAGCTTATGTGGATTCTACACATTTAAACAACTCAAATAATAAAAAAAATATTTATGGAGCAGATAAAAAAAAAAAAACATATATTCATTTATTAATCAATTATCATTTTGACATATCTTTTCTTTATTTAAAGGCTGAAATGTGAGGTTTACCCTTTTATGAAACTTTTTCAAAGCTTTATTTAACATTTACATTAGATATTTCAACATGCTATTAAACTGTTGACAGTCAAGTTGTCATTTAAAATCCGAACATCATTGGTAATGTTATTGTTTTAGTGATTATGCAAACAATAAGTCATTTTATTTGTTGTTTGTTAATTTATAAATATAAAACTTGGTGAAGTGATTTATGTGTCGGTACTTTTTTAACATCTCCAGCACATGTTAACAATACCGTGATAATACCGAAAACCGTGATAAGTTTGGTCACTATAATCGTGATAAGAAATGTTCATACCGTTACATCCCTAGTGCTGAAGGACTCAGGCTTGTAGCTCTGGCAGACAATAAACACCACCATCACAATGCTCGTTTACATTTTATTATACTGTCTTTTAAGCATTTAAATTTAGATTTGAGCTAGATTATTTTAAATTAAATTAAATTTATGCATTTAGTAGAAGCTTTTATCCAAAGCGACTTACAGTGCATTCAGGCTATACATGTTTTATCAGTATGTGTGTTCCCTGGGAATTTAACCCATGACCTTAATTTTAAGTCATCTTGAGGTACCCTTACAAGTTTTAGATTGCTGAGATTGGGAAACACTGATTTACATGATCATGCATACAATGATCACATAATGATATATGTAGATGTTTATATTGCAAAACCATTAACAGAACCAGGTATACCAATATTCTGGTTACAAGAAATCTGAATAATACATTTTTGCTCCAACATGCTTACGTTAACTGGAATTTTTGGTCAAATAAACAGTTTATTCTGAATATTCACATGCCCAAACCAGACAGTGATACTTAAACAAAAATAAAAAATGTAAAAAAAATAAACGGAGCAAATTTCTAATACTTTTTTTTGAAGGACAATATAAAGACATACAACATAAAGACAATATAAAGGCAACATAAGAGTCGTATGGTTTACATTTTTCCCACGCTTGTGTGCTGCTGTCAGAGGCATTAATTAAAATGATTGAGTTCAGAATCACTCAAATACAGCATAAAGCATGACAAAGAATAAAAACCTGTAATTCCAATAGCTTTAGAGTATGTAAACCTCTTTTCTGAATGAAAGCTTGACAACAATATACGTTAATTGAAAATGATGTGCATATAAATGTGGTCAATGAAAATGATACCTTTAGGACTGACAAATACCTATTTTGTTACCACATTAGCAGGAAAATACAACAAATGCATTTTCTATTAGATTAACTGATGAGGACAAAACTATTATGCTAATTTTAATGTCAGAAAAGTTAAGAGTCTGTCCTACTCTAACAGATTGGTCACCATGGCTACAGAACAGCAATGTTTACTATCCTTCTCATTACAGAACTTTTCTCATTATAAAAGGAAGACACAAGACAACAACATGTTATATGAGTCAATAAATCTTATTAATTCAAATTTATGTTCTTTCCTATTTTTAGCTATCTGGGTTTAACAAAGGTTGCACTTATCAGCCCTCAAAATCGGTTTTATAAAATTAACCCTGGTTTAACTGGTCAGTATGTGTGTTCCCTGGGAATTTAACCCATGACCTTAATTTTAAGTCATCTTGAGGTACCCTTACAAGTTTTAGATTGCTGAGATTGGGAAACACTGATTTACATGATCATGCATACAATGATCACATAATGATATATGTAGATGTTTATATTGCAAAACCATTAACAGAACCAGGTATACCAATATTCTGGTTACAAGAAATCTGAATAATACATTTTTGCTCCAACATGCTTACGTTAACTGGAATTTTTGGTCAAATAAACAGTTTATTCTGAATATTCACATGCCCAAACCAGACAGTGATACTTAAACAAAAATAAAAAATGTAAAAAAAATAAACGGAGCAAATTTCTAATACTTTTTTTTGAAGGACAATATAAAGACATACAACATAAAGACAATATAAAGGCAACATAAGAGTCGTATGGTTTACATTTTTCCCACGCTTGTGTGCTGCTGTCAGAGGCATTAATTAAAATGATTGAGTTCAGAATCACTCAAATACAGCATAAAGCATGACAAAGAATAAAAACCTGTAATTCCAATAGCTTTAGAGTATGTAAACCTCTTTTCTGAATGAAAGCTTGACAACAATATACGTTAATTGAAAATGATGTGCATATAAATGTGGTCAATGAAAATGATACCTTTAGGACTGACAAATACCTATTTTGTTACCACATTAGCAGGAAAATACAACAAATGCATTTTCTATTAGATTAACTGATGAGGACAAAACTATTATGCTAATTTTAATGTCAGAAAAGTTAAGAGTCTGTCCTACTCTAACAGATTGGTCACCATGGCTACAGAACAGCAATGTTTACTATCCTTCTCATTACAGAACTTTTCTCATTATAAAAGGAAGACACAAGACAACAACATGTTATATGAGTCAATAAATCTTATTAATTCAAATTTATGTTCTTTCCTATTTTTAGCTATCTGGGTTTAACAAAGGTTGCACTTATCAGCCCTCAAAATCGGTTTTATAAAATTAACCCTGGTTTAACTGGTCCATGCTTTGTGCATGTAAACACAGATTATGTCACAATTAGCAGCGTTGTCCTCATTTCCTGGAACTGAGGAGTACAAAGGCATATTTTTACACTGTATGACAGTCATACAATCAGACTCACCAGGTTTGGGCTGTCCTGAGGCCTTTTTGCGTCCCGCTGAGAGCAGGGAGCTGCTGTTCATCTTCTTGGGCCGGGGAGATTTGCTGTTGCTTGTGGTTTTTTTCATCACAATGGTGGTTGCAGGAGATGCTGCTTCTGGTTTCTCTTTACTCTGCTCAACATCTGAGTCCTCTGACAGCGAGTCGGCAGAGTTTCCTGACAACACTGAAAGGGAAGGGCAAGTATGACTGATGAGTCCAATACTCTTTATTTACACCTGTCTTGTGCTTGACACAACAACTCACTCACCATCTAACTCCAGACAGATGTGATGTAAACTCATTCCTCGGAACAAGACACCATCTCTCTCTCCACATAGTACCACCCGACCGATCAGACCCATCAGCCCAGGGTCCTGGCCGATGGTTGCACAGCTTTGAGTCACGTGATACTCCTTCTGCAAGAAGCTTTCCAATCGATGTATGGCAGCCCCGTGCTGTCCTTCCTCCTCACCCTCACTTAACAACAGCAGCTGTGTAAGTATCGCCACCTGTCTGCGAACGCGTGTCTGCGTCAGTGCCCGGGGGTGCTGCGAACCACTGGACCGAGCCAAACTACGTAGTAAGTCTGTTCCTCGCAGGGGAGTAGCTGGCGAATGATACGGCCTGGCAAACACATAGGGGTTCTGTGGATCGATTCCCACACCGGCACGAGTCTGCAAAAGCATCTCCAGACAGGCTTCTGAGTGTGGGGGGAGGATGAGCGGCTGTACGCGGCCACGCTTCCCTTGGACCCCGACACGAGGGAGATGAGGGAGGACCATCCGCTCGAAGGGTGAGAGTGCAGCCTCCAGTGGGGTTAGAGTTAACGGGGCACCAGGTTGCACAGGGATGGGGCACTGGGATGCGACTCGGGCCTGGTACTCTGAGATTGTCAGTTTGGAGACTTCACATTCACGGCGGCGATTGTAAAGGATGAGAAGGGCCAGGCTGGAGTGACAGAGGAGACGCCATGCCTCGGCCGACTCAGGTGAACGGGAGAGAGAAATAAAGGCAGAGTGCTGCAGCCGCCGCAGGTACAACACCAGGGAGGAAAGGGAGGAAAGAAGTGGGAGCATGTGGGGACGACGCGAACTGTGAAAAGAGAAAAAGGATTAGGTGAATTTCAATTTAAATAAATTTTAACAGTGGCTATGTTTACATTCACAACTTTTGCTTTAATCGGACTGAATTTCCATTTCTGGATAAATGTTACGTATAAACAGCCGTGCCATGCTGCTTATATTTATCACGCAGTAAAAGCGCCCATCCCCACGCCAAAAACCAGTCATCTATGGATGAGAATCCGAAACAAGGACTCCACTTGAAGGGAGAATTTTATAATGACAGGACACTCATTTTTACAACACTGTATTCAAACAGGAAAAGCACATCATGTCATTACGCTATTTTACGTCATTGCATATGTGCAGTCCTTTCAGTTTCAGTCTCGATCGTATTAGAAAAGGAATAAACCACCCCTTTCAATCCAATCGAAATTTCATTCAGATTGAGCCGTCAATCTGATTACTAACGGATTATTTGGTTGCATGTAAACATAGCCAGTGAAACTGTTTTTAACATTGTGAATGTCTAACCTTGATAGGTCGGTCTTATCCTCTGCTCCGCTTTCTTCTTCTTCTCTCCCTCCATTGTCCTCTCTTTCTTCTTTTGAAGGTTCTGACTCCTTAACAATATCCACAAAGACTGGAGTGGGCAGTTCCTCTTCTTTCATCTTCTCAAAAATGTCTACCTCCTCTTTATCCTTTTTCATTTTTTGTCCTCCTTTTCTCGGAGGAGTAGCAGGAGTAGGTGGGCTCCTCTTTAAGACAGACACGGGAACACCTCCTCTTCTGGGAGGAGTCGCTGGGGCAGGACTTTTGCGAGTAGGGCTAGAGAGGGCAGGGCTCCTTCCGACTGGAGACAAAGAAGAAGCAGGAGGTGACTGTGGTGTTACCACCACCACACCTGGCACAGGAGCCACTTGTAGGCATTGGGACTGTTTGCTCGATGATGGGAGACACGGTTGGACACAAGGAGGGTCACCAGGGGTGCGCGCTTGCTCCAGGGCAGAGCGCACGTCCGGCTGGTGGGCGTGGTGTTTTTCCAGATGCCGTGGGAGAGATCGGAAATGACGGCCACAGTAAACACAGCGCTGTTTCTGTGCCATGGTGCTCTGCCCACGACCCACTGACACATTGACACTATTAGCAGCAACTCCTGCAGGCGGCGGGCACTTAAACACAGGTCTGGAGGGAGCAGTGGGCTGCAGTGTGGAGGACGGGAGGGAGTGTGGAAAAGGGGGAGGATGGCTGGTGGGTCGCTGAAGTGCTTTTCTTTTAGCATGTGCAACAGAAGAGGACAGAGCTTTGTGCCTCTTGCGGCGGTGAAGTGATCGCATGCGCTTCTCTCCATTGGCATCATCCGAGTCGAGGTCTGAATCACTGGGCTCAGAGTGAGACAGAGGAGAAGAGGAAGGAGAGAGAGACCAGGAAGGTGTGAGGTATTCTGATGCAGAAAGTGGAACTGGGCCGGACTCTTCCTCCTTAGAAAAAAAAAGCACATGCATTTCTAAGATCTGTTAAAGGGTGAATAATCTGGCTTAGCGCTCATTTTACTTCTGTAACATATATAAATTACTATTTTTTTTTAAATGTAATGACTGAAAGTGAAAAATGTAGGACAGAACTTATTTGTATCCACCTGAAAATGACTAAACACCACCAACACTCATTTTGAAGAGGTTTTTGACCAGAATGTGGAGGCTGAAGGTCCTCAGAAGCATTCAAACAATGATTTTTCTTGTCAATTAATTGCTATTATTGTCTTAAAGGGATAGTTCACCCAAAAATGAAAATTCTGTCATTAATTGTAATGTTGTTCCAAACCCTATTTTGTTCCAAACCCATAAGACATTCATTAATCTTTGGAATGCAAATTAAGATATTTTTGATTAAATCAGAGCTTTCTGACTCTCCATAGACAGCAAGGATCCTTCCACGACCAAGGTCCAGAAAGGTAGTAAGAACATTGTAAAAATAGTCCATGTGACATCAGTGGTTCAACTGTAATTTATGAAGCTCAGAGAATACCTTTTGTGTGCAAAAAACAAAAATAACTACTTTATTCAACAATTCTTCTCCCGTGAGTTACCATCTTCCGCCATTATCAAGAGTATCACGATGGATGCGTGTGTTGCTGCTGATGTAGAGAACGCATGCGCTGCACCTTGCGTCGTGGTACTGTTGATAATGGCAGAAGACGGTAACTCGCGGTAGAAGAATTGTTGAATAAAGTAGGGTTTTTTTGTGCACAAAAAGTATTCTTGTAGCTTCGTAAAATTACGGTTGAACCACTGATGTCACATGGACTTTTTTGACAATGTCCTTACTACCTTTCTGGGCCTTGAATGTTTCAGTTGTGTTGCTGTCTATGGAGGGTCAGAGAGCTCTCGGATTTCATCAAAAATAACTTAATTTGTGTTCCGAAGATTTTGGAATGACATGAGGTTGAGTAATTAATGACAGAATTTTCCTTTTTTGGGTGAACTATCCTTTAACCTTTATTAAACTGTCAATTCGCATGTTGTTAATTCTATCGTTTTTTTATTTTAAAGGCATTTCGAAAATGACCTGCAACAGAACCCTAAAATAATGGTTGAACAATCAGTTTAAAGGACACCAACTAAAAAGACACGGAGCAAAAAATACAATGCCAACATGCACTGCGTTTTAAAAAGTGACCAGGGTCAATTTTTCATAATGGCTTTACAGGTTGCTCAATTCCAGGAGGTACACTCAAGCTGTATTTAATTAAAAAGTATGTCTAAGATTACAGGATGAAACTGTAGGAAAATGCAGGAGATATTAGTGTGCCGTGGTGCTTATGGTTCTGATGGACAGGGGCCCAGCAATCATTTCAGAAGGACAGGATATTCAGAAAGAGGCCTGAAAATGACTGTTGCTTGGTAACTGGGCGTGTCTGTAAGTGTATTCATAAAAATGTAATGTATATTTACCTTCTTAATGTTGCTCTCATGGTCCAAGCTGCAATCAAAGCTACTAGGAGGCACAGTGCCATGGAAACCCTGAGAGAGGGATGCAACATCTTTACAAAAAAAATGTCAATCATGTGACATAAGTGGGACTATAAAGTCCCTCCAACACTCTCACACATACACATGAATAAAACAAACACCATGCATATAAACTCGTGTCACAAACACATCTAAATTATAAACTCTCAACAATTTGCAAATTATTAGTAACACTAAGTGCAAAAGGAGTTTAAAGCACTGAGATGTGCTAGCCATTGTCATGGTTACACTTACCATAGCGTTTTCTCCCCACTCGGTCAAACTGTAATCCACAGTGATCTCCTCCCCCTTTGCGATGTCGCGGATCGCTATGACAATCAGTCGCACTTGATTTCCACAGTGCACTTCACGAATGCGGCAGTTTGGTGATGGGGGGTATGAGACGGCCCCCCTCTCTCCACTAGAGCCCTCCTCACTCACACTGCATGAGAGAAAACTACATCAGACAGCAATAGAGCAAACAAAACTGATAGAGAGAACCACATCACAGCCGGGAAATCTTGCAGACCCTGTTTTCTAAACCACGGAGTGGCAGACTAATGCATGTCCTGTGCTAAAGTCATGCTGTCTTTGCTTTCATTATTAACATTAATAACATATTATCTTCTCAAATTACAAATTAGAATGTCCCGTTTGGTGTGAACTCATAGCATTATTAAGCAGTGGATTTAGATAAAGAGCTGAATTACAAACAGGTTGTTTATAGTTAGTTGATGCTACTTTGTGTATGCTAACATATACTTACTGATATAGATTAACCATCAGCTCTGAAGCCCATATAAGCCTGGCATACATTCCCAACCCAGGACGAATGTCATAAATACATATGAATTTATAATTATTACAGAACACACTGTTGCCCCCCACACACAACATTTTATATTTATTTATTTATATGTATGTATATATGTATATATATGTATGTATGTATATATATGTATGTATATATGTAT